CGTGCGTGCGTGCGTGCGTGCGTGCGTGTGTGTGTGTGTGTGTGTGTGTGTGTGTGTGTGTGTGTGTGTGTGTGTGTGTGTGTGTAGAGAGAGAGAGAGAGAGAGAGAGAGAGAGAGAGAGAGAGAGAGAGAGAGAGAGAGAGACAAGAGAGAGAGCAAGATATTTGACCCTCCATTGCAATGTAGGTTAGAGCTGATATGCACAATCGAGTGGTATTAACTACAGAATACTATATCAATAGGAATGGCTGCAGCTTGGTTTCCACATATCTTTTAGTCAATTACACGTTACGCATCCGAAGTCATTGAGCATACAACGCGGTGTTTAAACCTTTAGTATGGTTCAGTATCCTCGCTAATTAGACGCAGGAAAAGAAAAATGCAAGTACGAAGCCAACGAAATGGCTATCCTATATATCAATCTATCTATCTATTCATCTATTTTCTATCATTATCTACATCTATTCTATCTATCTATCTATCTATCTATCTATCTATCTATACATCATTTATCTAATCCTTATCTATCTATCTACTAAATCTATTAATCTATGTATGTAGTCTCTATCTATCTATTTATTTATCTATCCATCATTCCATCCATCCAATCCATGCATTCCATCCATGCCATCCATCCATCATCATGCCATCCATCCATCCATGGCATCACATCCATACCAGTCAATCCATCTCCATCGCACCCTCCACCATTCCATCTTTCACCGCAGTCCAATCCATGACCATCCATCCATTCCATTCCATCCATCCATCCCATCCATCGCCATCCATCCTCTGCCATCCATCCATCCATCATCCATACCATTCATCATCCATGCCTCATCCATCTATCCATCTATCCACATCATCGCAATCCATCCATCCATTCCCATGCTATCCATCCATCATCCAACCATTCCATCCATCCATGCATCCAGCGCATCATCCATCCATCATCCATCCATCTCATCATTCTATCCATGCCATCCATTCAGCTACTCGCATCCGCATCACCAACCATCATCCAATCTCCATCATCTGTTCCATCCATCCATCCATCCAATCCATTCCATCCATCCATGTCCATCCACATCATCATCATCCACCATGCCATCATCATCCATCCATCCATGCCAATCCATTCCATCCATCGCATCCATGCCATCATCTCAATCCATCCATCCATTCCATGAAACCGTCCGTGCGTGCCGTCCGTCCGTTTTTTTTCCGTCCGTACGTCCGTCGTTCCGTCCGTCCGCCGTCCTCCGTGCCGTCCGTCCGTCCGTTCCGTCCGTCCGTCGTTCGTCCGTTCGTCGTCCGTCGTTCGCTCGTCGTCCCGTCGTCCGTCCGTGTCCGTCGTCCGTCGTCCGTCCGTCCGTCCGTCCGTCCGTCGTCTACCGTCAGTCCGTCCGTCCGTCCGTCCGTGCGTCCGTCCGTCCATCCATGCCATTCAATCATCTATCTATCTACCCACTATCATATTATCTATCTATCTATTCTATCTATCTATCTACATTATCTAATTCTATCTATCTACTATCTATCTATCATCTATCATCTAGCTATCGTATCGATATCTATCTATATATCTATCTATCTATCTACTATGCTATTATTGCTATTCTATGCTATCTAGCTAATTATCTATCTATCCATCTATCGACTGATCTAATTTATCTATCTATCTAATTATCTATCTATCCTATCTATCTATCTATCTATCCTATCTATCTATCTTCTATCTAGCTATCTTTCTCTAATCTATCTAATCTTCTTATCTAATCTATCTATCTATCTGTCCTTTCTGTCCTATCTATCTACTCTTCTCTGCCTAGATGAGGCGAGATTTCATTCGTTAACGG